AAAGAAAGAAAAAAAAAAAAATGCTGAGGAGCTGCATCAACACCAGACCTGTCCCACAAAAAATGCTAAAAAAAATTCTTCAACCTAAAAAAAAAAGGATGTTAATGACCAGAAGAAATCATCTGAACATGCAAAACTAACTGGTAGAAGTAGGTATACAGAAAAACATAGAATAACTGTTATTATGATGTACAAACTACTCATAAGTATAAAGACGAAAGATAAAATAATCAAAATAATGACAACTTTTCAAGGCACAAACAATATAACAAGATGTAAACAGAAACAACAAAAAGTTCGTAAGTAAGGAGACAAAGTTAAAGTGTAGAATTGTTATTAGTTTTCTTTTGGCTTGTTTGTTTATGCAATCAGTATTACATTATCATTACTTTAAAGTAATGAATTATAAGATATTATTTGCAAGCCTCATGGTAACTTAAAACTAAAAACATACAACAGGTACACAAAAAATTTAAAAGCAAGAAATTAAAATATACCAACCAAGAAAATCACCTTCACTAAAAGGAAGATAGGAAGGAAGAAAAGGAAGAGAAGATCACAAAACCACCAGAAAATATGTAACAAAATGGCAGGAGTAAGTCCCTATTTATCAATAACAAAATTGAATGTGAGTGGACTAAACTCCCCAATTAAAAGACACAGAGTGTCAGAATAGATTTTTTTTTTTAAAAGATCTAACAGTCTCTTGCCTACCAGAAACACACTTCATGTATACAGACATAACACAGACTCAAAATAATGGAACAAAAAAAGATACTCCATGCCAATGGAAACCAAAAACAAGCAGGAGTAGCAGACAAATTAGGTTTCAAGACAAAAACCATAAAGAGAGACAGATTATTATATAATATTAAAGGAGTCAATTCAGTAAGACGATATAACAATTATAAATATGTATGTATCCAACACTGCGTCACCCAGATGTATAAAGCAAACACTGTTAGAGCTAATGAGAGACCCCAATACATTAAAATCTCAAGATTTCAACACCCCACTTTCAGCACTGGACGGATCATCCAGACAGAAAGTCAACAAAGAAACAAATGGACGTAATCTGCACTACAGAACAAACGAACCTAATAGGTATTTACAGGACATTTCATCCAACAGCTACATAATGCATTCTTTTCCTCAGCATGTGGATCCTCCTCAAGAATAGACCACATGTTCCCCGGGGAATAGTGGCTCACACCTGTAATCCCAGCACTTTGGGAGGCCAGGGTGGGGGCATCACCTAGGTCAGGAGTTTGAAACCAGCCTGGCCAACATGATGAAACCCCATCTCTACAAAAAATAAAAAAATCAGCCAGGCATGGTGGTGGGTGCCTGTAATCCCAGCTATTCAGGAGGCTGAGGCAGGAGAATCACTTGAACGCGGGAGGTGGAGGTTGCAGTGAGCCGAGATTGTACCACTGCACTCCAGCCTGAGCAACAAGCGTGAAACTCAGTCATTAAAAAAATAAATAAATAAAATAAAATAAAATAAAAAGGTAGGTAGGTCACTAAACAAATCTTAAAACATTCCAAAAAAATTTAAATAATATGTCTTCTCTGACCACAATGAAATTAAAACTAGAAAGCAATAACAAGAGCAATATAGCTAAAAGTGAAGTGCCTACATCAAAAACAGGAAAACTTTAAATAAACAACTTAATGATATATCTTAAAGAACTAGAAAAGCAAGAGCAAGCCAAACCCAAAGTTAATAGAAAAAAAGAAACACCATAGCATACATAAATGGAATTGAAATAAAACAAAAGATCAATGAAACAACAAGTTGGCTTTTAAAAGCCAAAAAAAATCTGACAAACCTTTAGCAAGACTAACTTAGAAAAAAGGAGACAAGACACAAATAAATAATATTAGAGATAAAAAAGAGTAACTCATACTGCATAAATTCAAAGGATCATCAGAGGCTACAATAAGCAACTATATGCCAATAAATTGGGAGACCTACAAGAAATGGATACATTCCTATACACATACAGCTTACCAAGATTAAAACATGAAGAAATCCAAAACTTGTGAATAGACCAGTAACATATAATATCATCAAAGCTGTAATAAAAACTATTCAAAGAAAAACTCAGGGCCCAATGGTTTCTTCGCCGATTTTAACATTTAAAGAAAAACTAATCCAATTCTCCTCAAACTAATCCAAAAAGTAGACATAGAATATTTCCAAACTCATTCTATGAGACCAATATTATTCTGATACCAAAACCAAGTAAAGGCACATCAAAAAATGAAAACTACAGGCCAGTATCTCTGATGAACACAAATGCCAAAAACCTCAACAAAATACTAGTAAGCCAAACGCAACAACACATTTAAAAAATCATCATGACCAAAGAGTATTTATCCCAGGAATACAAGAATGGTTCAACATTTGCAAATCAATCATTGTGATATAGCAACAGAATGATGGACAAAAACCATATGATAATTTCAACTGATGCTCAAGAAGCATTTGATAAAAATAAAAACACCTCATGCTAAAAACCCTAAAAAAAATTGAGTATAGAAGGAACATACCTCAACATAATGAAAGTCATATATATGACAGACCCAGAACTAGTATCATACTGAATACAGATATACTCAATAGGGATGCAGAATAAGGAACAGGGAAAAACTGAAAACCTTTCCTTTATTATCTGGAACCTGACAAGATTGTCCACTTTCACAACTGTTATTCAACATAGTACTAGAAGTCCAAGCTAGAGCACTCAGCCAAGAGAAAGAAACAAAGGACATCCAATTGGAAAGAAAGAGGTAAAATCATCCTTATTTACAGGTGGTATTACATTTGGAAAAATGTTTAAAGACTCAAAAAAAAAACCACTATTAGAATTCATAAACAAATTCAGTAAAGTTGGAGGATACAAAATCAACAGACAAAAACCATTTCTATGTGCCAACAGCAAACAATCTGGACAAGAAATTATGAAGATAATCCCAGCACTTTGGGAGGCCAAGGCGGGAGGATTACTTGAGGCCAGGACCCCAGAGACCAGCCTGAGCAACATAGCAAGACTATGTCTCTACAAAAAAAATATTTAAAATTATCCAGGTGTAGTGGCATGCACCTGCAGTCCCAGCTACTCAGGAGGCTGAGGTGGAAGAATCACTTGAGCCCAGGAGGCTGAGGCAGTAGTGAGCTGTAATCGCATTACTGCACTCCAGCCTGGGCAAAAGACCCTGTCTCAAAACAAAACAAACAAACAAACAAACAAAAAGACAATTTCTACTTATGATTTTATTGACATCAGTAGTACCAAACAAGATGTTAGTATTAAAATCTTGATCCAGTTCCACCACTAACTTGCAAGTAACTTAACAGGGAGCCTCAGTAAGTTGCTTAATATTAAGGTATCTCAGATTTCTTTTTTTTTTTTTTTTCCAATTTGGGATTCCTCTAAGGAATCTATAAAATAAATGTGAGTGTTCTATCAAAACGTACCACATCATTAATGCAATTTTAAATATTAGAAGGCAGACTTAAACCAAAAAGCAAACTAAATACAACCTAACATACAAATTATTAAAAAGTGGGTAGGGACGTATACAGCTATGCAAATAACACACTTGGTTAATATCATGATTTTTCTATTTGGGACTTTTGATGTGTGTTTATAATAAGTAAGCTAACAAGCTGTACTTTATTCTTCAACCACAAGTACAGATGTATACCATTTCAAACTGGATCGTGTACACGGCTGTATTTTAGCCAAAGCATAGACAATTCTCAATAAATGGAGCATTTTTATTTAATGCTTAGCAGACCTACTCCACTACCGAACCATAATATAAGCTGTCATTTTGTATCTACATGGGTAGCTCCCTATATTGACAGATAACTGCAGACTGTACACTGAAACTGAAGAAAAAATTCAACAATATTTATGAATGCATTGAAAGTATATATGACATAGATATAAGTGGAAAAGAACCTTTGTTCTAAGAAGTAATGAAGCCAAATAGAAATAAAAAAATTAAAAAGAACATTATAGCACACGTTTGGGAAAGAAACTAGAGAAAGATCTCAAATGCTACTTAGCCACAAATTAATGGGTATAAAGTAGAAATTCCATTTTGGGTTCACTGGGTTACGTCTTGCTGTAATTCATAGTACTAAAATTATTTCATGTGTTGACAGGAAAAAAAAAAAAACACCAAAAATTTAGTACTGTAACATCTACACTGAGTTGAGATATGCATCACTTGAATAGAAAAACTTCAACAATATTCATACAGTAACTCTATTGCCAGTGGTTCTTGATCTTTAACCTACTTCAGAATAACCTAGAAGGCTTATAAACACAGACTGCTGGTCCCTACCTTGAGTTTCTGATTCAGTAGGTCTGGGGTGAGACCTTAGGACTCCATTTCTAACAAGTTCTCACATGATGCTGATGCTGCTGGTTTGGTCAGGGACTATGCTTTAAGAATCTTCTCTGCAGATTTCTCAATCAAATATTGAGAATTATATGTTGACTCACATTATATCAGTACCTCCAGAGCAAAGACAGGGTATCTTGCAGAGATTTTAGTTTAGATTCACTAAATTCTATTTTAAGTCCTCAGTAGAAATTGTGAAGAGAAAGTAGTAAAATTCAAGGAATTAGAAGGGTAACTACTATTATAGTACAAGGGCTTCTACTAGGAATGGTAGTTGATTAGTTATTTTTAAGTTGGTGGGAGAGATACGTTGGCCTTTTGGAGTAAGCCTAACAGTCATGGGCATCAGTTTGTGTGTCATGCAGATGGAAAGCAGAAGGTTCCATAATTCACTAAATGTAGCTTAAAAGAGTTTCAACCATAATGACAAGAAGTGAACAGATAACTCTTAGACGTCTGCATGGATCACACCACCTCCAGAAATATCGCCTTCAAAAAGGTTGTGAAACCTAAGGAAAACAACAGGGTCACCAAAGAAAATACTAAGATTCTTATTACTACTATAAGGTATGGTCAAGTGCTTGCAAACATATTCAGACACTGTTCACAGCATATCACTTACAACCATAATTAGAAAAAAAATAAAAATAAAAAAGAGTAAGATAAATGTATTAATCTTTTATTATGTTACTATAATTTCTATGATGGTTAGTATATCTTAGTCACAAGTGATGATCCTTTTTCCTTTAAGTTTTTAAAATCAATATATGGAAGACATGCAATACTAAGTTCTTCTCTTGTACATCCTGTAAGACAACACTTTTCTGAATATCCTCTGCGTTTTCTTTGGGGATGATTCCCCCAAAACAAATTGCTTAAGGTTTTAATTTCGTTTCTACTTTTCTTCTGAAATTTTGTATTTTCACGAATATACGGATTGGTATTATGTGATGAAGAAAATTCTCTTGTCTTATCAAGGGGTGAGTATGCCTTTTTATACTGATACTCAGGTAATGACTGCAACTCCCAACTGTTTACTGCTTCTTCCCAAGAGGCAGAAGTAGACACTGTTGAGAGAGAAGAAAAGAAATGCTCCTTTATTAAAATCTTCCTTTAGATGAAAATTGAATATTGGAACAGTAAAATCAGCTAATTATTAAAAAACAAGTAATCACATTTTAAATAAAGAATAGAAAGTATGGTTATTCAAAAGCAATATATATCTTAACTAAAGTAGGTGTGTTGTTTTCCTATAAAAAGACTGTAAACCTTTGCTTATTTTTGTATTAACAATTTAAGTTGAGATACCCTCACGTCATAAAATTATTCATTTTGAAGTATACAATTCAATGGTTTTTAGTATATTCACAGGGTTGTGAAACTGTATCAGGATGTGAAACCATAAATCTCTTTCCAGAACATTTATATACAAAAAGAAACCCTATCCCATTAGCAGTCATTTCCATTTCCATCTCCTACTATCCCCTGGCAGTCACCAATCTACCTTCTGTTTCTATGGATTTGCCTATTTCATATTGAAAGCAAACAATATACGACCTTTTATGTCTCGTTTCTTGCACTTAGTATAATGTTTTCGAGGTTCACCTACATAGTAGCATGTATCTTTTCATGGCTTAATAATTTTCCATTGTATGGACATTCCACATTTTGTTATTCCGTTTGTCAATTGATGGACATTTGAGTGGTTTCCACTTTTTGGTCATTATGACTAGCACTGACGGCCTGGCGCAGTAGCTTGTGCCTGTAAGCCCATCACTTTGGGACGCCAAGGCGGGCAAATCACTTGAGGTCAGGAGTTCAATACCAGCCTCGCCAACATGGCAAAACCCTGTCTCTACTAAAAACAAAAAAAATTAGCCAGGTGAGGGGAGATCCAAGATGGCTGATTAGACACAACTCCAGCACACAACACCCAGTGAGAGAGATGCAGAAATCCAGAGATCTCCTAGCTCCAACCGAGGTACCAGGTGCATTTCAACAGCTCTGGTCCCATGGTGAGCAAAGCCCACTCAGGGCAGACAGAGGAGGGGAAGGGTGCTGCTTCACCCAGAAAGTGCATCTGACCACTGAGTCAGAGGCTCCCCTCTGGCAAAGCTGTCCAGATACAGTGCCTCCCCCAAAGCCTCAGCATTACACAGAACAGGAGATCTATGCCAGTCAATTACAAGCAGAGTTGAATAAGAGCCTGCAGGCTGAGCTATTACACCCACCCTCTGCCTGGAGAGAGAGGGAGCTGTAAGCAGAAGCAGCCAGGTGCAGCTGGGCCGGTCCCTACCCTCCCCCACAAATCCCAGAGGGCTGAAGCTCTGACTCTAGTGGGTTGCGCAGCCAGTGCCACAGTCTGAGATAAACCCTGAATGATCCAGCCCGGTGTAGGAAAGGCTACCACTAGAGGGGTGGAACTGGGCTATATGTTTTAACAAAAAACACAGGGAGCCTACGTAGCAACGGGACGGCATTCTTGACAACCCAGCAGCACCTACAGGTCAGTGAAAGTAGCAGGCCTAATTTCCCAGTATAAACAAAAAAGACACCAGAAGCTTCCCTAGTAACCTGAAGGAGTCCCTAGAAACCCAGTAGCACCTCCACAGGCAGACAAGCAACCTTATCAAGGAGCTCCCTGACACCACAGCCAGGTAAATGCACAAAGATGGGAAATAACCAGCACAAAAAAAGATGAAACCATCAAAAACCAGAACACCTCTTCTTCAAGGGAGCACAACTCCTCAACAACACGGGATCACAACTTGACAGAGGAGTGCAACAAATTGACAGAAACAGGCTTCAGAAGGTGGATAATCACAAACTTTTCTGAGCTAAAGGAACACGTTCTAACACAATGCAAAGAAACCAAAAACCTTGAAAAGAGGTTAGACAAAATGCTAATTAGAATAACCAGCTTAGAGAAGAACATAAACGACTTGATGGAGTTGAAAAACACAGCACGAGAACTACATGAAGCAAATACAAGTTTTAAAAGCTGAATCAATCAAGCAGAAGAAAGGATATCAGAGATTGAAGATCAACTCAATGAAATAAAAAGAGAAGGCAAGACAAGAGAAAAAAGAGTAAAAAGAAATGAACAAAGCCTCCAAGAAATACGGGATTATGTGGAAAGACCTAATCTACACTTGATTAGTGTACCCGAATATGATGGGGAGAATGAAACCCAGCTGGAAAATATGCTCCAGGATATTATCCAGGAGAACTTCCCAAGCCTAGCAAGGCAGTCCATGTTTCAAATTCAAGAAATACAGAGAACTCCACAAAGATATTCCTCAAGAAGAGCAACCCCAAGGCACATAATCGTCAGATTCACCAGGGTTGAAATGAAGGAAAAAATGCTAAGGGCAGCCAGAGAGAAAGGTCAGGTCACCCAAAGAGGGAAGCCAATCAGACTCACAGCAGATCTCTTGGAAGAAACCCTACAAGCCAGAAGAGAGTGGGGGCCAATATTCAACATCCTTAAAGAAAAGAACTTTCAAACCAAAATCTCATATCCAGCCAAACTAAGCTTTGTAAGTGAAGGAGAAATAAAATCCTTTATGGACAAGCAATTATTGAGATATTTTGTCACCACCAGACCTGCCCTACATGAGCTCCAGAAAGAAACACTAAGCATGGAAAGGAACAAGTACCAGTCATTGCAAAAGCAAACCAGTTGGCAAACACCAAAAATGCAATAAAGAAAATGACTCAACTAATGGGAAAGAAAACCATCCAGTAACAAAACGGTAGGATCGAATTCACACATAACAATATTAACATTGAATGTAAATGGCCTTAAATGCCCCAATCAAAAGACACATACTGGCAAACTGGATAAAAAAATCAGAATCCATTGGTGTGCTGTATTCAGGAAACCCATCTCACATACAAAGACATACATAGACTCAAAATAAAGGGATCGAAGATTTACCAAGCAAATGGAGAACAAAAAAAGCAGGGGTTACAATCCTAGTCTCTGATAAAATGAACTTCAAACCAACAAAGATCAAAAGAGACAAAAAAAGACACTATATACAGGTAAAAGGATCAATCTAACAGGAAGAGTTAACTATCCTAAACATAAAGCCCCCAATACAGGAGCACCCAGATATATAAAGCAAGTTCTTAACGACCTAAAATGAGATTTAGACTCCCACCCACTAAGAGTGGGAGACTTCAACACTCCACTGTCAATATTAGACTGATCATTGAGAGACAATTAACAAGGATATCCAGGACTTGAATGCAGAGCTGGACCAAAAGGACCTGATAGACATATACACAATGCTCCATCCCAAATCTGTAGAATATTCATTTTTCTCAGCACCACATGGCACTTACTCTAAAATTGACCACATCATTAGAAGCAAATAACTCCTCAGCAACTGCAAAAGAACGGAAATCATAACAAACAGTCTCTCAGACCACAGCACAATCAGACTAGAACTCAGGATCAAGAAACACACTCAAACCCGCACAACCACTTGAAAACTGAACAACTTGCTTCTGAGTGTCGACTGGATAAACAATGAAATGAAGGCAGAAATAAAGATGTTCTTTGAAACCAATCAGAAAGAAGACACAACTTACCAGAATCTCTGGGACACTTTTAAAGCAGTGTCGAGAGGGAAATTTATAGCAATAAATGCCCACGAGAGAAGAGGAAAGATCTAAAATCGACACCCTATCATCAAAATTGAAAGAGCCAGAGGAGCAAGATTAAAAAAAAAAACTCAAAAGCTAGCAGAAGACAAGAAATAACTAAGATCAGAGCAGAACTGAAGGAGACAGAGACACAAAAAATCCTTCAAAAAAAAAATCAATAAATCCAGGAGCTGGTTTTTTAAAAAGAGCAACAAAACAGACAGACCACTAGCCAGATTAATAAAAAAAGAAAAGGGAGAAGAATCAAATAGATGCAATAAAAAACGATAAAGGGGATATCACCACTGATCCCACAGAAATACAAACTACCATCAGAGATTACTACAAACAGCTCTACTCACATACCAGTAAACCAGAAAAAATGGGTAAATTCCTAGACACTTTTACTCTACCAAGACTAAACCAGGAGGAAGTTGAAACCCTGAATAGACCAATAACAAGGGCTAAAGTAGAAGCAGCAATCAATAACCTACCAACCAAAAAAGTCCAGGCCCAGACGAGTTCACAGCAGATTTCTACCAGACATACAAAGAGGAGCTGGTTCCATTCCTTCTGAAACTGTATCAAACGATACAAAAGGATATAATACTATACAAACTGTATCAAATGATACTAACTCATTTTATGAAAGCAACATCATCTTGATACCAAAACCAGGCAGAGACTCAGCTAAAAAAGAAAACTTCAGGCAAATATCCATGATGAACACTGATGTAAAAATCTTCAGTAAAATACTGGCAAACAGATTGCAACAGCACATCAAGAAGCTTATCCATCACGACCAAGCAGGCTTCATCCCAGGAATGCAAAACTGGTTCAACACATGCAAATCCATTAAGTGTAATCCATCGCATAAATGGAACCAAAGACAAAAACCACAGGATTATCTCGATAGATGCAGAGAAGGCCTTCAATAAAATTCAACAGCTCTTCATGCTAAAAACTCTCAATAAACGATGGAACATATTATAAAATGGTAAAAGCTATATATGACAAACCTACAGCCAATATCATACTGAACAGGCAAAAGCTAGAAGAATTCCCTTTGAAATCAGGCACTAGACAAGGATGCCCTCTCTCACCACTCCTATTCAACATAGTATTGGAAGTTCTAGCCAGAGCAATTAGGCAAGAAAAAGAAATAAAGGGTATTCAATTAGGAAAGGAGGAAGTCAAACTGTCTCTATTTGCAGATGATATGACTGTATATCTAGAAGACACCAACGTCTCAGCCCAAAATCTTCTCAAACTGATAAGCAACTTCAGCAAAGTCTCAGGATACAAAATCAATGTGCAGAAATCACAAGCATTTCTATATACCAACAACAGAGAGCAAAATCAAGAGCGAACTCCCATTTACAATTGCTACAAAGAGAATAAAATACCTAGGAAT